AGTCCAGGAACCTCCCCAGCTACTCAGGGTCCCTGTGCCTGTGGCTTTGTGGCCCCACCACATTTGTGTCCCCCCACACACCCTTTCCTGCTGGACTCTGATCTTCATGCCACCACCACAGGACCCAGCATGGTGTCTGGTTGCACAGACAGTGGGCGCCAGATAAATGGTTCCAAGTGAATTAGAAAGATGGGAATGGGCACATGGAAGTAGTTGGGAGCCCCTGGCCCATTGTGCTGAGGCTTCTGCACCCTCTGGCTGCCCCATGTGCCGGGTCCCCATTTCTATCCCGAGGGCCAGGCACTACAGAGAGATGTCTCCAAGGGTTCCAAGTCCACTGCAGAGGCTGGGGAGCCCATGCTACTGCTGCAGGCCAGCTTCAGAGCTGGCATGTCACTGTCAAGAGACAACACTGGAGCATGCCCCAGGGCCTTGTGGGGTGGTGCAGACATGGCCTGCCAGGCCCCACCCCATCTTCCCAAGCAGCAGGTCCTGGGCAGCATCTCTAACCCATTCCCAAGTGCTGCTGGACCGTAGGCACACTGAGAACCACTGGCTTCCCACTGGAGATCATCCCAGGAAAGAAGGCACGCTCCAGTCCTGAGCAGACCTGCCTGCCTTCCCTTATCAGGGGAAGCAGATACTGTTCATCAACCAAAAAGGCATCTTCTTGGCACTGTTGTCTAGAATTCACAACTCTTTCCCGTGTTGATGTTCAAACATTGTCAGAATTTCAAAAAGGACCAAAGACAGCTGACTTGTTTTCCTATATTGTATATAGGAATTAAAACAGGTTTAATGCAGTTTCTTTCAAAATTTCAACAAGATTTTTTTCTGTGTAGACAAGATTATTCTAAAATATACATAAGAAAAGGCAAAGAACCCAGAATGACTAATATAATTCTGAAAAAGAAATCAGATAGGAAACATTTTTGAAGTATTATGGGATGCCTGTAGGAAATGAGGTAGAGGAGGAGGAATGGAAGATAAGCACAGAGACCCACAGAACAGACCAGAGAATCCAGGAACAGCACCAGCAGGCACCGAACAGCAAGCTGGTCGCTTTCACAGCCTGGTGGGGATGCAGTCACATATCACTGGTGGAGCCACTTAGGGTGTAGAAATCGATGGAATTTGGTTATTGCATTGTGAAATTTTTTAATTCTGTTAAAATATAACACAACTTTGCCATTTTAACCATTTTAGTTGTGCCATTCAGTATCACAAATTATTTTCACAATATTGTACAACCAATCACCACTACATATTTTCAAAACTTTCCCATCCCCTAACGGAAACTTGATAACCATTAAGCAGTAACTCCCCATGTTCCCACCCCACAGTTCCTGTTGTCTCTGACTTGTTTTTGTTGCTCAGAATTTGTCTACTCTAGGTAGCTCATTGCAGTGGTTTAGATCTAAGATGTCCCCACAGGTCTGTGTGTGTGGAAGGTGACTGGATCATGGCACACCATATTCACCAGTGGATTCACCCCCAGGGGATGAGGGGCTGAATGTGCTATGACAAGGGTGGGCCTGATTATAGGAGGTAGAATTGGCTACCAGAAGGGTATTTATTGGCTTACTTTCCGGTCGCTGAGACAAAATACCCAACGCTAGTAAGCTGGAAGGAGAGGTTTATACAGCTCACAGTTTGCAGAGACTTCAGTCCATAACTGGCTCCAGGGCAGGGTGCATGGCACAGGGGCATCGCAGAGGAGTAACAGTAGGTGGGTGACAGCAAAACCAAGTAACCAGTGAGCTACAAGCTACTTAGGTTGGGCAGCCCTCATACCCTTAATCCTAGTGCCCTTGATTGTAGTGTTGCTGCAGGATCCTATTCCAGCGTCATGTACTCTAGACCCAGCCCCCTCTGAAGAGTCCCTGCCTAGGACTCATGAGGCTCTGGGGAATAGCTCGACCGAAGCCACAAACAGGTTTGCACTGTCCCTGGCTCTTCTCTCACGTTCTGCTTTCTGGGTGCTGTGGTTGGACCGTTGCCCTCCAGTATGCCCTCCACTCTGCCAGCTGACCATGGACTGAAACTGGAGTCAGAATAAACTTCTCCTCCTCCTCTTTAAAAAAAATTTTGAGACAAGGTTTCATTATGCAGTTTAAGCTGGTCTTTGAATTCACTGAATAGCCCAGGCTGGCCTCAAACTCAAAGCAGTCTTCCTGCCTCAGTCTCCTGAGTTCTGGGATTATAGGCATGCACTACCATGCTCAGCTAAACCTTTCCTCCTTTAAGAGGTATTGAGTATTTTGTCTCAATAACAAGAAAATGACTATAGCAACCATATGTACAATCAAGATATGTGTCCTCTTATATCAACTTTACTTAGCATAATATTTTCAAGGTTCATCCCTGCTTCACTGTGTATCAGAACTTTGTTTCTTTTTATAGCTGTATAATATTTCATTATGTGAACATGCCACAATTTCTATATCCAGTCAACTTTAATGTGTACTGGAATTATTTTCTCCTTTTGGCTGTTATGTTGTTGTGGACATGGATGTATAACTGCCTCCTTGTGTCCTTGATTTCAACTTCTTGAGGTATTTACCCACACGTGTATATACTGGGTCACATGATAATTTTACATATTGCTTTTCAAGAAATGGCCCGAGTTTTCCACAGTGGCTGTGCCATTATACATTCCCATCAGCAGTGCACCAGTTTCCTTACATCCTCTTCAACAATTCTTTCCCCTCTTCTGTTGCTGTTATTGTTGTTGTCTAATGACCACCCTGAGGATGGGAAGTAGTGTGGCAGTGTTGCTTGATTTGCCTTGTTTCCATGATTAGTGATGCTGAGATTCCTTTTATGTGCTTCTGATCATTCATACATTTATTAATTACTGTGTGAACCATACACCTTTGTGAGGTACACAGTAATAACAGTGTATGCATAGATGTGCTGAACCACATGGTGAGACCCTGTCTCAAAAAAAATCAAATCAAAATGAAATAAAATAAGGAACTTCCATCCATCAAAAGTCACGATGAAAAGGACACGATAAGCCACAAACTGGAAGATGGTTGTTACACTTATGAGTGACAGAGAAGAAATGTGTTTGTATACACATATGTACATTTTTATATCACTAATGCCAAAAGTCTCATTAAAATGGGTGAATTCACAGACATTTCATATCTAAGGGAATGTAAATGATCCATAGGTATAGAGAAGATGCTCAGCCCAGAAACACATTTCCCATGGTGGCTGCTGTGCCCTCCGGGGCAGCGGCTGGGCCAGCAGAGAGCACCTCAATGTGCCACTCCCTGTAGCCTGATGAGGCAGATGACTGCAAGCACCAGGTTTGGACAGGGCCAAAGAACTGGTGATGCCACACATAGGATCTGAACTCACAGTCAGATTGTGCTGTCTTGAAGTGAGCAAAAACCTGAGCTGTTACAGTGGTTTATAGCCGTCCAAGAGCCACATTATACATGCAATATATAGGATGCTGCTATCAACATTTCAGGAGGCCGGTATGATTAGGGAAATAGTGTGCAAAAGACTATGGGGGAAGGTTAAAGAGAAGGTAGAGAAATCCTATCCTACAGGAACTCCTGTGTAACCAGTAAGTGGTATGTAGGCGCGTCCACAGCTGCTCCGTTCATACCAGAACTGGCGGGCAGAAACCTGCATTCTCCTACAGTACAGCAGGTCTGCTTCGTGTGAAATACTCATCAAACACAGGGGCGTGCCTCAGTAAGCATGACTCCATCACAGCTACGTAAGCAGTGCAGAGAAAAGAGCAAAGAGGAGCTGCTACCGATGGCTGTACTGAGGTCAAAACCAGGCAAACTCCGCAGAAGACAAACGTGGAAATGATTTATAAGAAGTTCCACCTACTGAATATCTGTAAAGGACAGGAGCAGGATTTGAGTGGCATACAGAGGAAACAGAAATCTAAGATTACAGTGTTTTCTTAAGCATATGAGCAAAACTTTTCCTTTTCTGTTTTAAACTATATTTGCATATAGATGCCGTACGCCTTCTTTGACTATGCATTTAAACATGTAGCTGTCCGGTATCTAGAAGGGAGGAGTTCCAGAGATCGCCTGTGGATGCTAAGCACAGCAGTGCTCAAGTGTCTCCTGTGAGATGGTGTAGAGTTTGAGTAGAGCCCATGCACACTCTGGTATACTGTTTGTTTGATCATTTTGTTTGGTGAAAGGTAAAAAGTTATAGCTCCCAGTCTTCATATATCCTTTAAATCACCTGCATATTACTACCTACACCTGGTACAATGAAATTTTATCCAAATCGTAGTTATCAATATTGTTTAGAGGATAGTGACAAGATAAAGGCCTCCACATGATCTCACTATGCAGTTCAGGCTGCTCTTAAACTCACTTTGTAGCCCAGGCTGTCCTCAAAGTCACACAGTGATCCTCCTGCCTCAGCTTCCCAAGTGCTGGGGTTATAGGCATGCACCACCACACTCAATCACAATATTTTTTTTTTGTCTTTTTTATTTTTATCGGTACCGGGGATCGAACTGCTTGCAAGGCAGGTGCTTATGCCGCTGAGCTAAATTCCCAGCCCCAATCACAATATTTTTTTAATGTTTTCATTCTGAGATTGAACGAATCCTCAAATGCAGAGCCTACAGATACCAAGTGGTGATGGTGTATTTCATAACAAAATCTTAACATTTTTCTTAATAGGCTTCTATGTCTGACAGTCAGCTAACTGGTTTCTGACTGAGTGCAGCTGGTATGGCCTCAGCCAAGCATGGTAGCAAATTCCGTGTCTCCTTGGCTGCCAGGCTGCCAGGCAAGTGCTAAGACTGGCTGTGATGGTGGAGGAGCCAATTGAGTGTTTCCAGCCAGGCCCCATTTTTGCAACAAGGATGGTCTCAAAACCAACTCCCAACCTTTTCCCTCTTTCACAACAGAGAGATGTCCTATAACTCACCAGCTCCTTTCCCACATTTGCCCTTCATCCTTCCAAGCAGTCTCCTCTTTGCAAGCTGCTCTCTCTTTTTCCAGCAATGCCCGATGCAACCCTGGACACAGCTCTCCGAGTGGAAGAGATGGGAAGCAAGGAGGACCTGTATGAGGACCTGCACGGCTCTGGCCACCACTACAGCCACCCTGGAGGGGGTGGAGAGCAGCTGGCCATCAATGAGGTAGGGTGGAGGTCAGGTGGGAGACTTAGGGTAGGGCCCGGGCTGGCAGATGCGGCCTACATAGACAGCTGTGCTCTGGGCACGAGCCTCAGTGCCGCTGTTAGCAGTGTTTCTGCCAAGGGCTTGTCCTTTGGGCATGGTGTGCTAGCAGAATCCGTCCAGACTTGGCGGAACTCCCTGTGCCCTCCTGAGCCACAGAGGGGCAGGGGCAGCACCTGCTATGAGTTCGGCAGGAAAAGGCTGGCCATCACTCCAGCTGCAAACTCAGGCAGCAGACTAGGGGTGAAGTTGGGAGAGGCTGATGTCTCTGCTGTGGCCTCCAGGAGCCCAGAGTACTGCTATTTGCTCTGACAATTGTGTGAGCTTCAGATTAAGAGTTTTGTTGCTCTTGTGTAAGCCAGGGAGATCAGTGTGGGGTCTCCTCTGGGCACACTGATTTCCATCCCAATTTGCATTCTCTAAAGAAAGCATTTTGAAATATTTTAAAATATTTTCACTGACACAGACTTATATATTTATGGGGCCCAGCATGACATTTCAGTACATGTGTATGTGTGATGATAAGATCCAAGTAGCTGGCATGCTTACCACCTCAGACGTATATTATTGCTTCATGCTGGGAACATCTAAAGTCCTTTCTACTAACTGTTTGGAACTGTTGTCATTTGTTGTCAACTGCAACAGTGCTAAAGACCATTAGAAATTATTTCTCCAACTGCAGGAAGTAGGGCCAGCCTGAGCTACATAGTGAGACCCTGTTTCAAAAAAAAAATATTCTTCATACTTAGCCATCCCCCTGTGCCTAGTCACCATCCTTTTTTTAGGACACAGAAATTTCAAGGCTTCAATTCCCCTCTTTGTCACTTTTACTTCTGTTTTCTTTTTTATTCCATTTCAAAGGAGTGATGGAACATAACTGTACTTAACCAAATGCTCAGCACAGGCACACACCCATAGCCCATAGCACACCAGTTCCCCTGGCCAGGAGGCTTCTGCCTTTCTGCTCCATCAGAACCAGGATGGCAAAGTAATCCAATTTTTTCTTGAAGAGAATCAGTTTACAGTGTCACTGCTCTGTGAATGAGTGTGCTCATGGACTTTCTGGAAGCAGCACAGAGGTGGAACCCTCATTATCCACATAGCTCAAGCAGGAGCTAGAGGGAGGCAGATAAACTCACTTATAGTCCTGGCTACCTGATACACCAGGGGCTGCAGATTTAGTTCAGTGGTGTAAGTGCCTGTGTGGCAAGTGCAAGGTCATGAGTTTGATTCCTGGTACCAAAAAATAAATAAATAAATTTTTTAAAAGATACACAAAATTAAAGGGGGAAAGATTTATTTAGCTCAGAGTTTGTAGAGGTTTCAGTCCATAATCAGCTGGCTCTGAGGCAGGGTGGCACACAACAGAGGGCAACTGTTATGGCAGAAAACAGCAAAAGCAGCAAAGAAGGAGGGAGACAAGCCTCTTTTTGCCCCTCTTATCTTATACAGACTGCTGGGATTACAGTGGTGCCAATCCAATCATTGAAGTGATCCAGAAACCACCCACCCTTAACTCCATCACCCTTAGTCCCATAAATTGAATTAAACCATGAATCAATCACAAACTTTAGATTCAGCTGCCTTTGGGAAAAAACCCATCTAAAATTGTGTGAGGCTTTGGTGGGGGCATCCATTCACAAACCGTAACTGTCACCGCACTGGCACCTCTGCACCAAGCACAACATGCTGTGTTTGGTGCAGTGGTGTACACCTGTAAGCCCTGTCTGAGAGACTCAGAAAGAAGGATCGTAAGCTTGAGCCCAGCACTGCCAACTTAGTGACTCAACAAGACCTCTTCTTAGAGGAAAAGAGAAAGAGCTGGGGATGTGGCTTAGTACAAAGGCTCTGGGTTCAATCCCTAGACTATAAATAATAATCATAACAACAACAATAACAATAGTGATAACACTTCATATGAGATCCATGAAGCACAGAGAATAAACATGCAAGTTAAACTTTCTAACAAAATATTGCTTGCCTGTGTGTGTGTGTGGTGCCAGGAACTGAGCCCAGCACCTCAAGCACATGAGCATACGCTCTCCACCCTCTCCACTGAGCTGTGCTCCCAGCCCCCAGCTTTCCTCTCTAGTTATGTTTCCGGAGCAGTCGAGAAGGGAAGGGACTCTGAAAGCACCGTGCACTGTGAGCGGAATTCACAGGCACTGGCTGTGTTTTGCCTTGAGGTATGGGGGGGGGGGGTGCCGCCACTGGAGCTGTCACACGCTGAGGTGTGCTGAGTGGAGAGGCCCCTGTGCACAGCAGGTCCTCAGTACACTTCCAGTGATAGGGAGGATGGCAGCTTAGGAGAATGAGAGCCGTACAGAAGCTCTCCTTTCACTGCTGTGTCCCCTAACTGGTGACAGCATTTCAGGCTGTCCCATATTGCTGCTGGTGAAAGGGTGCCTTTGGGGCCCTAGGGTTCTTACTAAGTTGTTAATTCTAAGAGGCTTTGGCCAGGGAAGGCCAAGAGCCAGCTCTAAATGAACAGGACAACTCCATGGAGGCCCTCCCCAGAGGAAAATGCAAGTAATGACCACAGGCGTTAGGTAAGCTTCCGCTTAGCTTCCTAGCAAAGGCTTCCTGTTTGGTCTTCTTGGTGCTGAGCTTCCTGGGTTTGCTTCTCGTTAGAGCACTTTGGTGGTTTGCAGGCTACTTGGGTTCCCTGAATTTTACCACACCCCAGATGTGGCACCGCCCCAAGGAGGTATCACCTCCGGGTGAGGGACCCTTCTGCCATTCAGGAAGCTGTGCAGGATGCTGACTCGGAGTTGTCCACCAGGCTGTGCACCAGTCACACGGCCTTACTATCCTGATAAGAAAGGCGGGAGTGGGGTTCTGATACAGGCAGGTATCGGGCTGTGAGCATGGGCCCCTGCTGCAGGGAGAGCTGCTCTTGCTGACCTGGCTCTTACTGGGATTCAGGGGAGGTGGTGTCTGTCCCAATCTGGACAAAATGCATCTTCCATGCCAGAACCTAAGAAGGCACAGGAGTGACTGTCCAGTGATCAGCAGTTCCCTGACCTTCTCAGGGCAGCTGCTCCCCTCCTTGTGGCAACTCACTGCTGCCTCTGAGCTCCAAAGAAACAACGATCAACACTGAACAAACACAAAAGTTCCTGGAGCAACCAGGCTGAGAAGAGCTGCTTGCTTTCTCTATACACATTGCTCTGCATTTTCTAGGAAGACGTGTGTGTCTCATTCCAATTGTGACACATGGGAAATTCAAACAGTCTGACTTGGGGAGATGTTTGAACTCTCAGTACCAAAATAGTGAGTCTTTGTGTGTCTGCACACACGCACATGGGTGTGTACATAGACACATAAAGGCTGTGGTTGTTATGCATGGTTGTATGTGTTGTATAGATGTAACTGTGTTGTGTACCACCAGGTACACCAAGTACTTGTGTACCACCAGGACCCAGGCAGTGTCTGAGACCAGAGAAGCAGATATATAAGATGCTCCTGCTGCATGAGCAGCCCCAGATGGGACAGTGCCCTCCTCTGAACCCCAGGAGCAGCTCTGGGTGGGACAGCACCCTTCTCTGTGCACCCTACGGAGTGTGCAAGAGAGGCTCAGGTCCTTACCTGCTCTGTCCCCATGCAGACTTGTGTCTGGCCCTCCATACTATCCAGACTCTGCCAGGTAAATTAGCAAATGCACAGGTTGATCATCCTCCATGCCTACAAATACCCCTCTCTTTGTCCAGCATCCTCCCTTTGAGTCTGCCCCAGATGCTCTCAGCTCTGGCATGGGCCTGTTTGTTCTCCCTCCCACATGACTTTACTGGATCCAAGGCTTTCCCTGAGAAGAGGCTGAAGGAGGAGGTGGCTGCAGTCTGTGAAGGCCTTCTCCTCAGTGGTCCTGACCCTGCTGACTTGAGTGCTGCTGGTACATGTGATGGTGAAGGGAGAAGTGGACACAGATTCCAGGGGAGAAAGTGGGTCTCCTGTCACCCTCTCTCCACGTATAGACAGCAGCCTGTTCCCTACTGGCCAGGTTCCTCTGGCTCCATCTGCTCCTCACTGGCTCTCAGGACCTTATGGTGTTGGGGTCCCATCTGGGTACCTCCCCAACAGTGAGCAGGGGGCCAGAACAGCTTCTGGATCATCCTGCTGAGAGTAGATGGAGCCCAACTAGAAGGCAGACAGACAGCAGGGAAGCAGTATTAGTCCAGCTGACCTGACAGTGAATTACTGAAGGATAGATGTGCCTCCTTGGGCTGTCCTTGCCCTCCTGGCACCTCATGGAACCCAGGGCCATCCCTCCCTGGGCCAGGATGATTTTCTATCCCCAATCTCCTGTGGCATCCTGATGCCTGACTGGCCTCTCACACCCCCAGCCCCAGGGATGAGTCCAGTGCCCATCACTGTCCTGTGTCCCTTGTGCTCACCCTCGAAGGCTGGAGAGCACCTGGTTCAGGTCTCTCAAGGTGGGCAGAGGCACTGCTGCCATGAGCTCCAGGTGGGAAGGCCATCTGCTGGCCAGCACCTCTGAAGTAGATTTCCCCTCTTCCCTCCACTGTCCCCAGAGTCTTGGCCCTCACCTGCTCAAAATCCCCTTGCACTTCCGCATAGGCCCTCCCACCTTGGGAACCCTAATAAGTTCCACAGCAGCCCAGGGCCTGCCTCTTCCCTAGTTGGAGCCTAGAGTTTGAACCTCCCAGTCTTTGCTGCATTTTGGTTTTTGTTTTGAAACACGAGACATTCTTGCTAACCACTGGGCTTTCTAGGATATAAAAGCTGCCCTCCCCAATAAGGCCAATGGTCTTTCTGTCCATTCAGTGCTCTTTAGGTCACCCACTCTGCACAGAGCTGGACCTGGGCCTCCCGGGCCCCAGCACAATAGTGAGCCTGCAGCACTGTCATACTGTCCAGCAGGAGCTCATCCCAAATGTGTCCAAGGCTGCAGACACAAGGCCTTCATTCTTCCCTCCCAGTTGGCTGGTGGCTTTGGTGCCTCCAGTGTCCAATGAAACATGGGCCCAACTCAGGGACTCTGGCGGGGGTGAGGGATTGTGTGTTGCCAGGGAGCCTCATATGCCTGCTGACGCCCTGCAAGTTTCTTGAGTCCTGGGGATTTTTGCAGAACTAGGCTGGAGCCATACACCCGACAGATGGGCTGTGCTGAAGTTTCAGGTTTAAGGGAAGTGCCATCAAGGAACACATTCGGACCCTCTCTGCCCTTATGGCACCCACACCTGCATCAGTACGCATATACACACAGATACACGTGGACGGGACTGACGTCCCCTGTCCTGGCACCCTCGGCGATGTGGTCACAGTCATGGGTGCATGTGCTACCTGAGCATCAGTGTCATGCCGCAGCTGGTGCATACACAAGAATCTGAATGGAGACAGTTGCTAATATGCGTGCCCACCTCTGCACCTGCCGGCTGCACTCTTCGTGACCTTCAAGGAGCTTCTGGGCTTGTTCTGGAAATCTGCCTGCTCCTGAGTTGCGGTCAGCCCTCTCTACTGCAGTCTTAGCCTGCAGGACAGAGATGGGGCTGCCCTGGCTGAGCTGCCTGTGCGGCCTGGAGGGACAGCTCCAGAGCCGCCAGAAGGCCGGTCCTGCCTGGGCAGGCAGCGGGACCCTGGTGACCAGCTGCGGAGTTTACACAAAGCCATTAAAGAGCCAGGCCAGGCTGGGAAGTGCACACTTGCGCTTAGATGGTTGCGGTCAGAGAGAGGAGCCCTCTGTATAGATTCCCCCCCCCACCCCCCTGCCCAGGTGCAAGTCTTAACTGCGTAGCTCCCAGCACTTTTATATACCCGATCTTTCAGGGCGCATTCATGCCTAAATGTGTGAGGTCGCGGCTGGAGAGAAGCCTCATAAAAATCAGAATCTGAGTCAATCCCTCCCCAAAGTCAGAGCGGGCAGGCGTTTCTGCCTGGAATGCCTGTACCCAGTGCGGCCGCTGAGCCACGCTGAGCGACCCCAAAGTTACCAGGACCCCAGAAGCGCGTACGCTCGCTCCCTCCCCGCCTCGCGCAGGTCACGCCCCTCGGCCCGCCCCGTGCTGGATTCTGGGGTCAATTGTGGCCAGTGAGGCACTGCGCACGCTCCGGCTGGGCTGGAGGCCGGGCTCTGCGTGCTCCGCCCCCCCCCCCCCCCCCGTCTCCCCGCGCCACCACTGCGACGGTGGTAGCACCACACGGCCTTAGCGATCCGAGCCGCCAGCGGGGCCATGGCTCGGGCCCTGCAGCCCCGGCGCGGCCCTGCAACGCACGGGAGAGCCCTGCGCGCCGTGCTGCTCTGCAACCTGCCCCCTGGCGCCCAGCGCGCTGTGGTCTCCCTGGTGCTCGTGCTGCTCGTCCTCATCAACGTCGTGCTGATCTTCCTGCTGGCTTTCCGCTGAGCCGGCATCCGCCGGCGCTTGGGGACCGCACGGGGTGAGTGGCCCCGCGCCGGCCGCCGTCACCCACAGCCCCAGGTGTCCCACCACGCGTGTATTCACTCTGGGATGCCCCAGCCCTGTGCCTCGGGGGCGTGGTAGCACACGTGCGAGGGTCCATCCTTCTGTCTTCTGTGCCATGGGGATGGGAGTGGCGCGATCTGAGCGTAACTGATGCTGACGCACCTGGGCAGCATACTTGTGCGTGTGCATGTGAGTGAGCCTGCAGGGCGGCAGCACTGGAAACGCACCTGTGTGAGTCTTAACAGGTTAGCGGGAGCGATCCGGCACCTCCGTGGCTCCTCTGTGGCGTTATCCGCCTCCGTAGGGCCGAACTCCCCGCACCCTGTGCAGAACCTAGCCCAGCGCTGGGGGGGGAGGGGGGAGGGGTGCCTGAGAGGGAGAAGGCAGAATGAGCGATGGCGGCCAGTCAGCAGGGGTGTTGTGAGGCAGGGTCTGGCGGCTTTGTCCTCCCCAGGGCTGGCCAAATGGCCCAGCCTGGCTTTGTCTTCACCTTGAACTCGACTCAGTCCCTCCACCTCCCTTCACATAAACATCCACTCTTCACCCCACGGGAGCTGCAGGTGTGGTCCTCTGGCTGTCAGGTGCAGCTGCTCCCAGGATAGAGCACAGGAGGCCCCTGTTAGAAAGCCTACCCAGCTGCTGTGCAGATCAGGAGTTAGGGATAGCTCAGGAAATGTGTCTGTGTCTCCTGAAGCATTGTGGGTGCTGTCGCAGGGCAGATGTTGACACTACTGGGACAGATGGGAGGCATTTGGAGGGATCAGAGAACTCGCTTGTGGTCATGCATATGTCTGGTGTGTTCTGGGCCACACGTGGTTGTAGGACAAGGACCTAACAAACGTTGTAAGCCCACCCTGCCTGTTGGGTCACACCTTCTGCAGCTTCCCCAGCAGCTGTGAGGACAGGGCTGTGGTGGATTAGGTCAGAGCACAGTGCTACAGGGACTTGGTGAGTGAACTGGGGGCAGTGGAAGATGCTCCTCCTAGTAGTGCACAGCCAGAAGTGTCTAGGAGAGAAATCAGTGTACAGGGGGCAGTGCTGAGTATGAGAACTCCTCCCCCAGGTCCATGACCTGTGCTTGCAGACCCAGGTCAGAGTGGCTCCTTAGAGACACTCACTGGCTCACCTGCACGGCCAGCAGTGCCCACTTCCTTCTGTACCTTGGCCCCTGCCTTCAAAACCTCCCATGGAGCTGTGGGAATTGTGCCAGCTCTGAAGGCACAGCAGCCGGCCCTTCCCACACAGTCCTGCTGAGTCCTCAGGGCAGGAGTGAGGTCATCCTGGCTAGGAGTGAGGACAGGGGTCCAAGGTCTGCTGCTCCTAGGCAGTGCCTCTGTGTGATAGCTCGGACCCTGGAATAAAATCCAAGGAAGCAAGAAATTAAGAAATTTGGAGCAAACGCTTTAATTCCAGGCCTGGCAACGCAGCCTCCAGTAGCCAATATGGAAGACTGCGCACCTAACAGACTAAGGGTGGGGTTTTTAAAGCTAAAAAACCGCAAAAATATTGACCTGTCTCAGATAACATCTGGGATTCTTGGTACATTCCATTGCCCTCTGCAGTTAAACATTTTCCCGGAACAGCACACCTTGCAGAAACATGCAGAAGGGGGCTTGGGGGATTTACAAGAAGCTGAAACTTAAGTCTTTACTGGAAATGGAAATTTAATCCTATCAAAACAGTGCATACAGAACAGGACAGAGGCACATTGGTTAGAGCTAGGCCATAGCATTCCCCTCTGATGTTGTGACTGAGGCCAAACCTTTGGCCCAATGTTATGGATCTTGGGGAATAAGCTCATAGGCTTGTTGACGGATCATCATCAGTTTTATGCTCTGCATTTGCTATCTAATATAAGCAGTCAGCTTATGATTATACAGGGGCCTAGGGTGACTACTAGTAGGAGCATGACAAGGGGGCCAGCTAGGGTCGCTACTAAACTAGTTACCAATGGCAAGAAGGAGAACATTTGTTTCATCCATCCTGAAGTTTCCCGTCTTAGCTTTTACCTTTCTTTAAGGCCCCTCTGGAGTTCGGCTAAGTTTTGTCTTACTGTTTCAGACTTGTTAGCATATAGGCAGCATTGTTCCCCCAAAGCTAAGCATAATCCTCCTTTTTTAGCTAATAGGAGGTCTAACCCTCAGGAGTTTTGAAGGGCCACTTCAGCTAGCCAGTCAATCAAGCTTTCTAAAGCTTCGATAGCATCATGAATTTGTTTCATCCCATTGTCTACCTGCTGGGATAGCAAGTTGTACTGATATATACGGACTCCCAGGGAGGTGGCCCCTAGCCCAAGGGCAGAAAATGTACTAATTTCAGCTACAATAGGAAGGACTGGGCTTCTTTTGCTTACCCCATTGGTTGGTAGAAATGAGGATCTTATTTTCTTTATTTCTAGATGCCAATAAATTCTAGGTAAAATTTGGGTCAATACACAAACTTTATCTTGGTCAATAACGAACTTTTTTGAGGTGATGCAGGGGTACCATCCTGAAGTAAAGGCCCACCAATGGCTTGTTGGGGCTACTATGAGGGTATGATTACCAGGCCCGGTGATGCTATGAGAACTTGTGGGAATCACAGTATTCAAGGGCCGTGTAATTTAGTGTTTTGCCATAACGTCTGAGGGAGTACCATGTCGCACCTAGCCTCACTAGGTGATGACTCATTAATGACCTTAATGAATCCCTCAAAAAAGGGGGGGGTCATAGGGCAAACACAGCCAGCGTGGGGTTGACAGACTACTCTCGGAGGTGTTGAGTAGTTTGGCCACTATTTCCAAAGGTTGAAATACACCAATCATAGAGGATATAGAAGACATTGGGGAAGGTGTCAAGGCGAGGCTGTCGAAGCTTTAAGTGGAGGTGGAGGGGTCTGATCTGGCCTTTGAAGCGTGACTGTAGGAGCTTTTCTAGGAGGTTTATATAGGATGTTAATGTTGTTTCCTGGATCATATCCAGCTTTATAAACCTTAATGGTATAAGTGAGTCCATCTCCTTGCCACTTTGGCTCTAATGGATTTGGGAAAGTTAACAGAACAGGATTACAGGTATGAGTGGTCTGACAGTTTTCATTTCCTATCTAATTGATAATAAAATATTTTTCAGAGCCGTAATATCCACCAAGGCCTCTGGTAACACACGACCATGCATAACAGTATTGTTCGTTCAGGTCTGAGACACAATAAGCATTATAACTAGGGGCTGGTTGGCTTTTAGGACATATATAAGGCTATACCGTTGACGCCATTTCTAAAATGGTCCTGCAGTATGCTGGCTTGTTGGTCATCACAGTAATTGAATTTGGTTGAGTAGCCCTTCCTCTCAACTAGTTTACCACTAAAGAGTGTACATAGGTCAAGAGTAATTTGGTTTAAGTCATTCTAAGTCTTTCCCAACTCATTTTTTGTCTTTTCATCTGAAATAACCCAATCCCCATTTCCAGGGAGTACAACCATAATTAAGCAACAAACTATAGACTACAAAAAAGGCATCATTAGCATAATCAAGAGTCCTTAATAAACTTCAACTTTAGTGGGTTACCAGTTCGGTACACTTTCCATTGGGTAAGGTCCTCATTGTCTGCAGTTTCTAGTGGATCCATGTGAGTATGGTGAATCCACAGAGTCTTTCCAGCAACCTTGACTGCAGTGAGGGTACTGAGCATCACAGTGAAAGGTCCTTCCCAGTGGGGTTCAAGGGAGTCTCGATGATGGTGTCGCACCAAGACTGAAGTTTCTAGCTCAATGGGTGCCTTTAATGGTGTCTCCAAAGGTGGGTCTGGGTGTTTTTGTCTGAACAGATGGTGGATGGAGATCAGCACAGGCTAGAGCGCCTGCAGGGACTTAATGAGATCTTGGTTAGTTATTTCAATTAATTTGTCCTCAGATAGCCTTGGGACCAGTGGAAGGGGTCTTCCAAACAAAGCTTCAAATGGGGAAATTCCAGAAACATAAGGAGTACATCTAGCTCGCAGCAGAGCAAAGGGAAGAAGGCTCACCCAATTATTGCCAGTTTCCAAAACCAGCTTAGCTAATGTGTTCTTGAGAGTTCGGTTCATACATTCTACTTGCCCTGAGCTTTGTGACCGATAGGCACAGTGGAGTTTCCAATTAATAATTTTTAATGCCTGGGCTAACTTTTGGGTGATTTGGGCTATGAAAGGCAGGCCATTATCGGACCCTATTGATAATAGAAGGCCAAACTTAGGTATGATCTCATGCAATAGCTTTCTGGCTACTACTAAGGCTGACTCAGACTTGGTAGGGAAAGCCTCTACCCAGCCAGTAAAGGTGTCTATTAATAACAAGGGATAGTGGTGTCCCTGTAAACCAGGCTTTACCATGTCTGTAAAGTCTACTTCCCAGTGTTCTCCTGGGGCAGTTCCTCGATGCCAGGTGGTCTCCAGTGGAGAGCTTTTGGTCAGGTTTACTAACAAACACTGTGGGCATCTGGAGCTCAAAGAGGCAGTCAGTTTGGAGAGTCTTGGAATGAAAAACCGAGTTCTGAACAATTCAGCAAGTTTAGTTCCCCCTAAATGGGTGGTTTGGTGAGCCTGATGTCGCAGCTCAGGTCCTAGTGCCTCTGGCAATAGCACTCACTTGTCTGGTAATTGGTACCAACCTCCTGGGGTGAGGGATTTTGCTCCAAGTTGAGATGCCAACTGCAGGTCTTTCTTTGTATAAACTGGTTCTGATAAGGTAGGAGGAATCAACATCAGAGCAGATACCTCCTCGGTTGGTCCCTCTGATGTGGTTGCTATTTTTTGAGTGGTCTGGTCTGCTAAATTGTTTCCTAGGGCGATAGGGTGGTCTCCTGTCTGATGAGCCTTGAAATGAATAATAGCCACCCACTGAGGTAGCCAGACAGCTGCCAGCAAGTCTAGAATCTGTGGAGCATTTTTTGTCTTAGTCTCAGGTGAGGTTAAGAGACCTCGCTCTTGATAGATGGCTCCATGCACATGTACAGTAGCAAA